TTCTTTCTTTCTTTCTTTCTTTCTTTCTTTCTTTCTTTCTTTCTTTCTTTCTTTCTTCATGTATGCTTCTGGGACCATTTTCCTCCGGTCTAAATTCATAAACAGCTCCCCAGCTTAAAAAAAGTTTGGTCACAGGCTGCTTTCGGCCGGAAAGTGAAAAACAGACTTTTTTTTCTTTCCTTTTTTGTTTTTTAAATGTTCCTGGTGCGAGTTTAAAAGAAGATGAAATCAGATGTTCGTCACGTCATGATCGAAGTCAACTTAAGTTGGCGATGTGGCCCTTTCTCTCTTCTTCATGCCAAATTAACTCACACGCAGCTGTTTAAACGTTTTGCCAGGAGAAGCACGGAAACGCTTAACCATAACAGGGCCCTTGTCCGTCATCCGAACCGGCTTCCATCGTGCGGACGGAGTTTAAAAACCGCGAGCGGAATGACGACGGACTCTGGCTAGAGGAGAGGGGAGAGGATGTGGTCGTGCACGGGGGACAGCTTTCTGGATCTCGAAAGCTTTCGTCTCCGGAACATGTTTGGCACAACTTAGTCCAAAAAACAAAAAAAAGATGAGACGGACATGAGACCTGATTTTGGAGTCCGTTACCAAAATCTTTGTCTTTTTTTTTCCGTTAAGTGCCTCTTTAAGTGTTCCTCTCAGACTTTTGTCGTCAGGTAAATGTTTCAGATCCATCCTTCCGAAAAACACATGTAATAGCCAAAGAAACGGAATGGTTTGCTTTTGGGGTGGGGAAAAAAAAAAAAAGGAATTTGAAAATGTAATCCGTCTCAGCTGTCCGACATATCAAATAGTTGCGCGGTATTTGCGCTTTCATGTGAAAACATCAGGGGTATCGATGTTGATATTGGAAGCAGTCGGACAAGTCCGGGACTGGGAATACATTTGACACAAACCAGCCCCCCCCCCCCCCCCTTTCCAGAGCACCATGTGTTGCAAACTGGGTTTCTAAACACGCTCCGCCTGTCACCTTTGCTTATTCCTGACGGCGGTCTTGGATGGCACGCCCGCTAAACGGCCGGCGCTAACGCTTTCGTGAGAGAGAGAGAGGGAAAGAGAGAGAGGCCGGGCCGTCTGACGCACTCGTCCAAAACATCGTGTGAAAAAGCGAACGAATCTGGCTTTTATTTTCCTGTTTTGGGGTTTGTTTTTTTTTTTTATATCTTCCACTCGATATTTCCACCTTGTTGCAATAAAACAAATTTGACTAAAAGTGACATTATTATGTTTTTCATAGTTTTCTGAACAGAGAGAAAAGAAAGATGCAAGACATCTGATTTTTTTTTTTTTTTTTAATCTAAAGGAACGCTGTTTGATGAAAGAGAAGACACAAAAAGATATCTAGTCCACAATCAAAAAGGGGAGATTTAGGGGCTTTTATACAAAGGTTAGTGTGCAAATCTTCTCTAAAATAACTAAATGATGAGTTTATTATGTATAATTAGTAAAAAATGGTGATAAGCAAATCTTTGTTCCTTTATTCAGATTTTTAAAAGAATAATTTCTCTATGGGTTACCTTTGGTCAAGTCTTGACCACAAAACTAAACTAAACTAAACTTGAGCAGTTTAGCAATATGGATTTGCCACATAAAATTAATAATACTAATATTGTTAATAGATAATAAAGATTTGGAGGGATAGAAAAGGATGATGTGGTCGTTTCAAATACTTTATGTTGCATTTAACATTAAGGGTGTCTAATGTGGGAATCTTTAGTGGCCTCGCTGTTTGCTTTTGTGAATTTTATCCATTGGCAATTGTCCAGCTAATTTTGGTTATGATACATGTGCTCAAGATGGGAAGCAAATAAAAAATCTTCATTAGATATTAGTATGGGGCTTTGTGATTGATTAATATGGATTAATTGTGTTTCTAAGAAAAAAAGTTGGTTTGCCAATTCAAGCGAAAGTTGAATTGAAACGTATATCTCTTAACACTGAAGTCTACCAGTCTCTTTTGTTTACATCTTGCATCTAATTGGTGTCCAGCAAATGAACTTTAGAGGCATTGTATGGCTTGGAGCTTTCGGCAAACATGAACACCCCAAAGTCCAAGCCCCAATATCAACACAGATACACCCATGTAGCTGAGATGTTTTTTGTTTTTGTTAAGAAAGCCACCTCTTAAGTCTGATGAAAGCTCCATCATTCCAGAAGCAGCATCCGAGTGACTCACCTCACCACAAGCAGTCACATGTGAGGGCCGCTCCACTCGTCCAACGTCAGGCAAATCTGACTCCTCATTTATCGGCAAATGGCTGAGCTAGCTGTGGTCCTTGGTACATTTTACCGTCAACAATACTGAACTAAACTGTTAACTGGAAGAGCTGAACTTTTCCCCCCTCCTCTTTAGACCATAATGCACAGTGTTTAAAAAACAAATTACCAATGGAGCATTAACATTTAATGTTCTGCCTCAAATATTGATACTTTTTTGATTGTACATTTTACCCAGTTTGTTTACCCAAAATTTGAACCCAAATTTCTTTGAAATACCTTCAAACTAAAACTAAAACTAAAACAAAAAAATTAGGACGGTTAGCATGAGTGGGTTCTAGCTGTATGGACAGTGTGGAAGGTGCACCTGAACGCACCACGACTACCACTCAATCGTCTTATTTTCCTCCACCATCCACCCAGTATCATTCTCCCACCCACATTCTCCTCCTCAGTGTCTCCGTAAGTCTCGTCTATTCAAACTATCGATTCCCCCCCCCCCCCATTGTTGTCACCCGCGACGACACGCCGCATTTCGCGAGTGTTAGCGTGACCCGGCGGATTATGTTGCGTACGTTTTCTCAGGCAGGCCATTCTCAGCCGAGCAGCAATCTTACACCTGCAACTGGAGCCGTCTGCCTTTTGTTGTTTTGGCTACAATAGCAGATGAACTCTCAGATTTAGTTTTCCTATTGTGCGCAGACCTTTTTTTTTTTTATAAAGGTTTGGGTGTGAGGTTTTTTCCAAAAGTATACGTTTACTGTTGTGACCCAGTGCGCCCGTGCGTATTCGCACTCCGCGATAAGCGTACACAAGCCCCCAATCTTTAACTTCACCCTAAATGCCTCATGAAAGTGAGTAAAGGGATGTGTTTGACGTCTCTTGTTTGAACAGTCGTAGAGAAATGTTCGCTTTCCTGGCAGCCCTTGACGAGCTCCCGGCCGTAAATTGCAGCGCCGCTCAGATGTCTTTGTCCAAAAGAATCTTGGAAATTTTCATTAATGTCCTGTGGTCATCCCATAAATCTCGGGTTTGCACTTCTCGCCTGCATTTTTGGGGGTTTTGGAATCGCCTCTTTTTGACATATTTGGTTATTTTTTGAATGCTGAATCGAGCATACCAAAAGTACACAGTTTACCCTCCTTCGGGGTTGATTTAGGGGCCGCAGGGTTCCTTCACAGCACGGAAAAGTCAAGTTTGGACCAGAGGGAGCTTCATCATGTCAAAAGCAGGGAAGCGCTCACTGCTACTGCTGACATGCTGAGCAAACGGCCAAATAGCTGCGGAGGAGAATGCTTTGGACTTAAATGCATGCAGAAGGCCGTGGAACAAACGTTTCTGTCAAGCTTTTGTCATTTTCTTAGTGCAACTTTTGGGAAAGATTACAGCTCGATCTCTTCTACAATGCAAGCCACGTGTTTTTGTAGTTTTGCTGGGGGAAAGAATTGCATATTTTCTTGTTTATTTGCTGTTTTTCATATCAGAATTGGGGCGAAGCATATAAGTAATGCTGTTAAGCAGAAATCAAGGCTGCGCAGTCGGGTTTTAAAGCTCTTTGATTGGATGAAATTCTACAAGATATCAGAAGTCCAGTCTCTACTAAGAGCTTTGTAAGAGTTAGCCATAGTCTTCAATTTGATTTATTGAGTTCAAGGATCTGCAAATCTAATCCTCAAGGAGCACCTACCTGCAGGGGATAGATAGATAGATAGATAGATAGATAGATAGATAGATAGATAGATACAGTGGTCTGCAAAAGTTTGGGCAACCTTGTTAATTTTAATGATTTTCCTTCATAAATCATTGGTTCTTTGGATAAAAAAAATCAGTTAAATATATGATAAAGGAAACAAACACAGTGATATTTGAGAAGTGAAACGAAGTTTATACCATTTACAGGAAGTGTGCAATAATTGTTTTAACAAAATTAGGCATGTGCATAAATTTGGCAAGGCGAACCCAATTATGAGAGAGTATTTAAGGTGGGGCAATTGTAAGTTTCCCTCCTCTGTGAACCTTCTCTGAAGAGTAGCGACATGGGAGTCTCAAAAGAACTGTCACATGACCTGAAAACAACGATTGTTCACCATCATGAATTAGGGGAAGGATACCGAAAGCTGTCTAAGAGATATCAGTTGTCTGTTTCGACAGTTAGGAACATAGTCAGGAAATGGAAGACCGCAGGCACAGTTCAAGTTAAGGCTCCAAGTGGCAGACCAAGGAAAATCACGGATAAACAGAAGCGAAGAATGGTTAGAACAGTCAAAATCAACCCACAGGCCGGCACCAAAGACATACAACATGATCTTGCTGCAGATGGAGTCATTGTGCATCGTACAACTATTGGGCGCACTTTACACAAGGAGATGCTGTACGCAAGAGTGATGCGGAGGAAGCCTTTTCTCCGCCCACATCACAAACAAAGCTGCTTGAGGTATGCTAAAGCACATTTGGACAAGTTGGAATAAGGTGCTGTGGACTGAGGAAACTAAAATTGAGTTATTTGGACATAACAAGGGGCGTCATGCATGGAGGAAAAACAACACAGCATTCCTAGAAAAACACCTGCTGCCTACAGTAAAATGTGGTGGTGGTTCATCCTGCTGTGGGCCTGTGTGGCCAGTGCAGGGACTGGGAATCTTGTTAAAGTTGAGGGACGCATGAATTCCACCAAATATCAGCAGATTCTGGAGACCAATGTCCAGGAATCAGTGACAAGGCTGAAGCTGGATCTTTCAACAGGACAACGACCCTAAACACTGCTCAAAATCTACTAAGGCATTCATGCAGAGGAACAAGTACAACGTTCTGGAATGGCTATCTCAGTCCCCAGACCTGAATATTATTGAAAATCTGTGGTTGACTTAAAGAGAGCTGTCCATGCTCTGAAACCATCAAACCTGAATGAATTAGAGGTGTTTTGTAAAGAGGAATGGTCCAAAATACTTCCAACCAGAATCCAGACTCTCATAGGAAGCTATAAGAAGCGTTTAGAAGCTGTTATTTCTGCAAAAGGGGGATCTACTAAATATTGAGTTTTTTTTTTTATTGTGGTGCCCAAATTTATGCACATGCCTAATTTTGTTTAAACAATTATTGCACACTTCCTGTAAATGGTATAAACTTTGTTTCACTTCTCAAATATCACTGTGTTTGTCTCCTATATCATATATTTAACTGATTTGTTTTATCCTAAGAACCAACGATTTATGAAGGAAAATCATGGAAATGAACAAGGTTGCCCAAACTTTTGCAGACCACTGTAGATAGATAGATAGATAGATAGATAGATAGATAGATAGATAGATAG